CATTGAGCTAGATAAATGCCAACTGAAAACATGCTCAGGCTGGGTGTTGTGACTCACGTCCATAATCCTAGCTTTTGAGGAGGCTGAGGCAGGAGAACTGTTGAGCCCAGGAGTTCAAGACCAGATGGAAAACATACTGAGACACTGTCTCCACAAAAACAAATCTAAAAATTAGCCAGGCATGATAGCTTAAGTCCCAGCTACTCCAGAGGCTGACACAAGAAGATCACTTGAGCCCAGCAGGTTGAGGCTACAGCGTACTGTGATTGCACCACTGTGCACAAACCTGGGTGAGAGAGACCCCATCTCAGGAAAGGGAGAAAAAGAAAAGGGGGAAAAAAAGGGGGAAAAAAAGAAAAGGGGGGAAAAAAGAAAAGGGGGAAGAAGGGGAGGGGAGGGGAGGGGAGGGGAGGGGAGGGATCACTTGAACCAGGGAGGTGGAAGAGGCAGTGAGTTGAGATTCTGCCACTGTACTCCAGTCTGGGCAACAGAGTGAGGCTCCGATTCAAAAACAAAGTAACAGGCCAGGCATGGTGGCTCATGCCTGTAATTCCAGCACTCTAGGAGGCCGAGGTGGGTGGATTACTTGAGGCCAGGAGTTCAAGACCAGCCTGGCCAACATGGTGAAATACCATCTCCACTAAAAATATAAAAATTACCTGGGAGTGATGGTGGGGACCTGTAATCCCAGCTACTCAGAGGCTGAGTTGGGAGGATCTCTTGAACTCAGGAGGTGGAGGTTGCAGTGAACCAAGACTGCCGCACTGCACTCCAGCCTGGGTGACAGAGCAAGACTCCATCTCAAAAAACAAAACAACAACAAAAAAAGCCTGGAGGTTTTACAAATTCCCATAAATTTCAAAAGGCCAAAAGTGAAACAGTTACCTGACGACTGACTTAGCTAACCAGGTAAAGCTTAAATCTGGTGCTGTACATGGTAAAGGCAACAAGAAACATGTGTGAACTGTGACCACAGAACCTAAAGAAGACATATGAATTAGAAAATTAGAAACACTAACTACTTCTTTAAAAAAAAAAATGTAGTGAAGGGTATCTGTTGAGTGAATCTGAAAAAAAAAAAGAAAAAAGATACAGTGATAATTTTTGATAGCTGGTAGACTCTATCCACCAGATCAGCTCTCCTAGTGCCGGCAAATCAGTGATATCCTGGCAACAGAAAAGGAGAATTACTTTCTGGAAAGCCATGCACAGCTAAGGTGAGATGTTGTGCAGAGAAAAATCGGCCTCCATTCTGGATGATGAAACTTTGTGGGCCTCATTCACTATCTGATATTGAAATACTGATGGTCAGACATACGCACTTCAGAAAGGAGAGCGATACTGATCTTTAAATCTGTGTAAGCACATTACTTGTATTCAAATAAAATTAAAAGAGAGAGGAAGAAAAAGCTGATACATGACTCATCGGGAAGTTCAGCTCTATTTATAATTTATAGCAAGCTACCTAGACGGTCTATGTTACTGTAGCTAAGAAGGTTGTGAGTTGAGTGTGGAAGGATAGTCAGCTTTTTGGGGGGGCTCCAGAGGTCCTCAGTGAGAACAGTCCTCTGACTATGCTTATATAAGAAGTTTAACTTCCTCTGGGTTAATTCTTTGAGAAGCATGAGTAAGGAATTTGTGATAGCCCCAGTTCTGTAGAAAAGGGGAACAACTCTTTTCATGGGAAACCCAAGAAGTAGGGATTGGATATGTTCAAGAAAAATTCTCCAAACACATGTCTATCTTTAGAGCACTCAAGGGTAGGGATCCTGAAATGGCCTATTGTATTAACTTTTTAGTAACATGAAAGACATGGCTTCTTATGTCTCTCCCAGAAATTTATGTCCCACTCTCTTGGCAGCTTTCAATAAAGGGAAGGTATAGGAGACCTTGTTATTGCTCCCCCCCACCCCCGGAAATTCTGTTTACCACCTGGCACAGCCATCCCCTGCTACTGAAAGGCTGCACATATGTGAGGTTCACACATGTAGGCTCTTCAGATTGCCCTTGGTAGACAAAAAGCTGCCTTGCCAAGCAAGTGGCCTATGCAGTTAAATCCCTACCCACCAAAAAATGGGGTATGAATAGACTCTGTGTCATTCTTCTTGAGAACACTTAGCTTCTTCCCTGGAACTTTTCTATCAAGCCTCCTTAAATGTCAAATTACTCAAAGAGATGCTTTAAGAAACCATTCCTGGCTGGGTACAGTGGCTCACACCTGTAATCCCAGCATTTTGGGAGGCCGAGGCGGGTGGATCACCTGAGGTCAGGAGTTTGAGACCAGCCTGACCAACATGATGAAACCCCATCTATACTAAAAATACAAAATTAGCCAGGCATGGTTGTGCCTGGGGAGGGGAGGAAAATATCTTCAAACAATAATATACCAAGGTGTAGTTCAAGAAATTATTTAAAAAAAAATACTAAATTCGCAAAACTCTGTGATACATTTTTACTGGAAAGCATTTTGTAAATGGAATAAACATGTTTAAACTTTAAAAATCAGGAAAGAGGATAGTCATGATAGTTAATGCCTGAATCCCAGCACTTTAGTAGGCCGACGTGGATGGAGTCCAGGAATTTGAGACTGGCCTGGGCAACAGAGTGAGATCCAATCTCTACAAAGAAATTAAAAAATTAGCCAGGCATGGTTCTTATGTATCTGTAGTCCTAGTTACTCAGGAGACGGAGGTGGGAAGATCACCGTTAATGGCAGCAGCGGCCCATTTGGAGGAGCCACTGTGAAGATGCTGAGTGCAGCAGGGGAGGCGCTGGCTGGGGCTGCATGCTCTGTGAGCCCGCAGGAGCCAAGAACAGGCGGGAGCCCCTCTCCCTACCGAGTAGGCAGGGCTGGACCCCTTCCTTGCCCTGGGGCACAGCTACGGCCACTCAGCTGCAGCTCCAGACTGAGGCATTCCTGCACTCTTGGGGTCCTAGGAAGCCCCTTATCCCACAGTCTTCAAAGTGCCTGCTGCTGCGGCCTGGCCTCTCCCTGCTCCTGGTATCCTCTCAGGGGTGAAGCAAAGATGTGGCTGAGCCCAGGTGATGTCACAACCCAGCTTGGTGTGTCTACACATGGGGCGGCACTGACATGCCAGCCTCCTGCCACCTCAGCCCCTTCTGGACTTTGGGCAACCACGAGCATAGGAGGGAGGGTGATGGGGGCTAGGGATGGCTCAGTGTGTGCCTGCAAGCAGCCCTCGGCTCAAACAGCCTGGGTGCCATGGATGACAGGTTGGTGGTGGCAGGAGGCAGACATGGTCCTGGGCAGAAACAGGCAAGTCCCCAGTGAAGCCCCACCTTCAAGCCATGTATGGCCTGAAGCCTGGGGGCAGGACTGTCACTTCTGGGTAAAGTCCTCTGCCAGGAGTGAGAACCTATGGTGCTTTTTCCCTGCCCATGGACCAATCAACAGGTACTTCCTCACTTCTGAGCCCATAAAAACCTTGGACCCTGCCAGGATAACCAGGTACGGGAGGCAATTACCCACCTAAGTCTCCTCAAATCACCGAGACAACATGCCTGTGAAAAGGAGCTAACCACTCCAGGTCTCATCTCCACTGACAGCTGGACATTTGTTCAGATGACCTGCCTTCAGAAAGGAGCTGCCCACGGCCAGTCTCCTCTCCACTGAGAGCTGGACACTCATCAGGATGACGTGCCTGTGGAAAGGAGCTACCACTTCTGATCCCTCTAGAGCTGCTGTCACTCACTGAAGCTCCTCTCTGCCTTGCTGACCCTCCAGTTGTCCACATACCTCATTCTTCCCAGATGCAGGACAAGAACTTGGGACCTGCCGAATGTCGGGACTAAAAGAGCTATAATGCAAATGGCTGAAACATGCCCCACAACATTCCTAGCCATGTTGTTGGTAACCAAAAGGAGAGAAGAGCCAGGGCCCTTTGGGGACTCCAGACTCAGGGGCTCCCCAAACCAGGGCTGTGACAACCTCTTTGGGGCTCTGTGGTCCCTGGTGTCTCCAAGCTTCTACATGTCATCACATCCCCCTTGCCAAGATGTGGGCGGCCACAACAGAAGTCGCTTGCAGTACATCTGATCCAGCTGCAGCCTTTCACAGAGTTAGTGTCTGTGCCAGCACCTAGGGCTGCCCGCCCCGCTGAAGCAACCAATGTGCCTGGCTGTACCCAGTGGCCAGACCCCACACTCACTCCACTCTGTGCCTGGCTTGCCCTTGTTAGGCATGGGATTTGGGCGAGTAGCATAAGCCAAGCAGAGCCTGCCAAGCCAAGTGGGTGGAACAAGTTTGGTGGGCGCAAGCAGTACTGGGGTAGAAGGTGCTGTCTGCCACAAAAGTTCTTGGCTGGCAAAGCAACACCCCAAGTATTCCATGACAACTTGAGCCCATGAGGTAGAGGTTGCAGTGAGCCATGATCATGCCACTGCACTCTAGCCTGGGCCACAGAGTGAGACCTGTATCTTAAAAAAAAAAGAAAAGAAAAAGCTTATCTTCACAGAGTATGTCCCAAATGATGCCTCTTATCTTTTTAAAACAAGACAGGACACACACATAAAATTTCAAAAATAAAAACTTCTCACAAAGGAAACATTTATTTCAGAAAAATTAACCATGCCACATTTCATAAGAATGACTATGTAGAATAAGTATGCTATAAAGCCTTAAAAATGCGTTGTATTAAAATACTTCAATATTGCATTTGTGGCAAATGACTTTTTTTTGTGACGGAGTCTTGCTCTTGTTGCCCAGGCTGGAGTGCAGTGGCTCGATCTCAGTTCATTGCAACCTCCACCTCCCAGGTTCAAGAAATTCTCCTGCCTCAACCTCCCAAGAAGCTGCAATTACACACATGCACCACCACGCCCTGCTAATTTTTGTATTTTTAGTAGAGATGGGGTTTCACCATGTTGTCTGGCAGACTGGTCTCGAACTCCTGACCTCAGACGATCCACCTGCCTCAGCCTCCCAAAGTGCTGGGATTACAGGCATGAGCCACCATGCCTGGCCAACTCATTTTTTTAAATAAATTAAGCTACAAAGAAAATGATCCTTAAATAAACTCCTTCAGAACACAATTGTCTGAGCATTGCAAGTGGTTTATTATAGAAAACAGTGATCCAAAACTTAGAGTCATGGATTTTGATGTGTAATCACATACACCAAAAGCAACTGTTCAAATGTTCCCTGTAATATGTACCTTTAGGCATAGTTTAAAAAACAAATTCTTAAAGTCATTTAAAAATAAATAATATAAAGTGATTAATAGTAAGGTATTGGATGTAAAAGGGTAAACACAAAGACATTTATTAGCAAAGAAATAAGGAGAAATTAAAATAATCCTGCAATACTTTTGTGTATGCAATTTATCAAGAAATGTTGAAAGAGAACAAAACAAATGTTGGCTCATTCTGGAGCTTCTTTGTCATCATTAATGTATTCAGGTTTTCACAGCTGAACCACTATACTTTGAAAAGATTTTCATGAAAGGGAACTCATATTCAATGTTTAAACAAAGCTGTCAGGTTACCAAGATTAAAATTCGTTTGAGTGTCCAGAAAAATCTTTTTTAAAAAATAAAAATAAAAACTAAGTTGGTCTTTATTTGCAAACAAAAGAAGCTTTTGTTTACCAGTGTGTATTTATTTTTGGAGCGAATATAGAGAAAGAACAATTTTAAAGCAAAAGACGAACTATTTTATGTGGCTATTTTTTCATTACTAGTTCTGTTTCTCAAATTGATACAAATGATCTCCTTCTGTTTCTGACTGTCTGCTTGCCTTGTCAGTACAACTAATTGTCAGGATTGGGGAGATCTCCCATATCTAAACAGAAGATGTGCCGTTTGTAACCTGCTTAATTCGCCTTATGTCCTACATGCCCTGAGTATGGTGTTCATTAAAGTCTCAGCTGTTTTGTTTTTATCAGTGGCAGCCTAAACACAGGCTTATTTTTCTTTGTTAAAAGGCCAGATTGTGCATAAATATAAACCTGATCTATGTGAATGTGTGTATATGTGTGTTTAAATGGCAAGAAATGACCACGCATGTAAATAGTTCCTAGCATTTTCATCACTTGCTCTCACACCTAAACTTCGACTCTTGCCTAGAAGTTAGTAAGAACAGCACCTCTTAGGCTTTGCAGAGAACTTTAACAGCCACCTCTAAAAGTAGATAAACCATTTAAGAACTGCAAGTAGTTATAAATGGATTCCATAGAATACCATTAAAAACCATTCTTAAACTACCCCCACCCACCTCATACTTCCTCCCCTAAAATAGTTCCTAGTAGGCTCTAAATTTTGATTTCTAATTGCTTCCATAAATTTAGAAGGTCTAAATGAAACCTATTTATATTTGCCTTGGCAATAGCAAATGGCTTAAATCAATTACTTTTCTTGGGGGGAGGGGCTTGAGAAGAAAACTCAAAACTTTACATTTAAATGTTCAATCCATAACCAAAATTTCTACTCAGTTTTGGTTTATGTTTGAGTAGACTGTACTATTACACTAAGTTTTTAATGTACCATAAAAATAAATCTTATTGATGTGTATGCAAATACAAAATTCATATATGAATTGTATAGTATTAACAGTGTTCACGTTTATCAAATTAATCAGACTCATTAAAAGAAGGTATAGAAACTGTCAGATATTTACTGCATTTTTAAGTGAAGTTTAACAAAACATTTGTTAATAAGCTACTTGTGATGTTAAATTTAACACACAATTAATTAAAAGTACATAAAGTACTATTAAAGTAGTATGCCTGACAGCTGTAAAAAATAATTTAACCTTTGAAAGAGTACAAAATAAATACTGTCCAGTGATGCCTAGAGCTGCGGACCGCGTGGACTCGCCCCCTTGGGACTAGGTTTCTGAGGCCGCTGCGATGACCAAAATAAAAGGAGATCTGGACCGGCCCCGAGGCTCAGGCGTAGGCGTGCTCCAGGGAGCGGACCTACCGGGAGCTCCTGGTCAACCAGAACCCCATCGCGCAGCCCCTAGCTTCTTGCTGCCTGGCGCAGAAGCTCTACAAATCCATCAAAAAAGCCCTGAAGCAGAAGCAGATTCCGCGCGGGGTGAAAGAGGTTCAGAAGTTTGTCAACAAAGGAGAAAAAAGGATCATGGTTTTGGCAGGGGACACACTGCCCATTGAGGTATACTGCCATCTCCCAGTCATGTGTGAGGACAGAAATCTGCCCTGTGTCTATATCCCCTCTAAGACGGACCTGGGTGCAGCCGCAGGCACCAAGCACCCCACCTGTGTGATAATGGTCAAGCCCCACAAGGAGTACCAGGAAGCCTACGACCAGTGCCTGGGGGAGGTGCAGTCCCTGCCCCTATCCCTGTGAGGGGACCTGGTAGCACCTAGGCACCTGCCTCTGGAAGCTACTGGGTTGGCAGTGGGATGACTGGCTGTCCTCTTGCCCACCCACACTGACGGCATCTTCCCAGTTCCCCAAGGCACACCTTCTTCCCAGGCAGCTCTGACAGCCCTTTCATGAGGTAATGCCAGCCATTTCCTGTGGAACTTAAGTGAAGGCTATCCCAAGAATGTGGGATGGGAAAGTAAACACCAAGACAAATAAATAATTAATTGATTAATTAATTAATAAAAAATAAAGACTGTCTACTGGACATTTTGGCCCATACCTTATTTAGTTCTTAAAATTAGCTATTAATTACAGCAGCCTGGACATGAAATTTAGGAAAACAAAATTTTATCTTCAAAAAATTCTCTCAAAACCATTAGATAACTTCAGAAAATGGCCTAACTAGAAAAAGACATTACCTATACCACCTAAAGACATTACCTATACCTATATCACTGGATATAAAGTATCAAAAGAACCCTACCCAAAAGATCTCCTTTTCCCGCCTAATGTTAATTTGTGAATCACTCAGTTTATCCTTAAAGACGGGAACAGAAAATGAAGTTCAATATTATTTCAACATAAAATATGTGCAATAGAGTACTATTTTCAATATGAAACCTGTCACACTCCTGATGACATAATTAATAACAACTTAATTAAAAAGCCTATTAGGAGATAACAAAACTTAACAGTTTACTATGGTGGAGGTAGAACTAAAACTTCAGAAACAAATTAATCAGAAACTGAATAAATGACAGAAGGTCTCCCGCCCCAGGTGTGAGTAACAACCATCATTACTCCAAGCACCCTGAGGTGACTTTTATAACTAAGAAAACAGGTAACACGGGGGGGGGGGGGGGGGGGAAAGGGGGGGGGGGGGGGGGGGGGGGGGGAGCGGGGGAGAGATAGCAAGGGGAGAGATGCCAGATGTAGGTGATGGGGTGTGTGTGTATTCCCACCCCCCTCCCCTCTAGGCTCAAGGGAGCCTCCCATCTCAGCCTCCCGATTAGCTGAGACTACAGATGCATGCCACTATGCTCAGCTAATTTTTTAAATTTTTTGTAGAGATAGGGTCTTCCCTGTACTGCCCAGGCTGGGCATGAACTCTTGAGATCAAGTGGGCCTCCTGTCTCAGCTTCTCAAAATAGCAGGAATACAGGTATGAGCCACTAGGCCTGGCCTTAAAACAAGTATATAGGCTACCATAGACTTCCTTTCTTTAGGGTGAATTTACAGGATACAAGACAAAATCTCTGTACTTATATGATGAGAGCCGAGAGAGGAAAACGAGGAACCCACACTCACTCTACTTGAACCTTCTTAACAAAATCAAAAAGAGTAATATAGTCAATGATTTACTTTTGCAAAGTAACTCTGGAAAATACTATTAAATTACTTAATAGAGATACGATAAACATAAGATACGGAAATTATATTAGAGAACATAAAATCAACACTGAGCAATTCTGATGTATGCTGCTATTATGCATACCACCTTCTAATAATGAAAAAGAGAAAAATGACTATTTAGGATTTACTAAATGCTTCTGGTACTGAAATAAGGAATGAGTTTATTTTTTTAAAGGAACTGCGAGGTTTGTGATTCCTCCATGCATATGTCTGAAAACATTATTAGTTTTTGTGCTCTCTACATTCAATTATTTTTAAAGATATAATTTTTTTAGTAAAATTTTAAAAGTGTCTTCACAGTACATGAGTAGTAGTGACACCAATAATGGCAGATCGGGTAACTACAGGGTTCTGCCCTTCCACAAAAACAACAAACAAGCTGGCAAAAACTTTAAGAAACAACTTTTGCAGATCTCTGAAATCTAGTCAAAACTTACACAGAGGAAAGATTAATAAAGACAGAATCTACTGCATTGAGATAACAATTAACAGCACACTGTGGCATTTTAAATAGCCCACCTAACATCTTCACCCTCTAGATCTACTGCAACAGTAAAGTGGCAGCTGGTGTTCCTAGTGCTAGAGGGAGCTATGCAAACTTGATAATGAAAGAACTGTGGTTGAATGTTTCAACCTTTCTGGCAGCTTCCTACAAGACCAGAGCAAGTGCATGCCTTTGTTTTGCCCAACTCATGGGCAGCTTCTCTAGTGGTGTTTTTTTACGATAGTCTATTTAAAGAAAATATTGGAAAATGGCATATCCTAGTACTCTGTCACATTCTCACTACAGATATTATTTCAATAGCATAGTGATAGTTATTTTACAACAGTGGTCAACAAACTACAATCCACTGGACAAACTGGTTAGCCTCTTGTTTTAGTAAATAATGTTTTCCTGGAACACATCTACACTAATTTGTTTATTTATTGTCTTAGGCTCCTTTCATGCTAACATGGCATGACCTAAAATATTTACTATCTGGCCCTGTAAGAAAAAGTTTGACCACTATTCTAGAAAATAATCTACTATAAAAACTGACCTCAGATTGACATTTGACAGGTGTACTAAGATTTCTCTGCCCTGCCCATTATTAAGTAGCCAAGCTATCAATATACAGAAAAATTGCATTAAGAGTTAACATAAAAACATAATGAGTTAATGTAAAAATGATTATGAAAATATTTCCAATCTAAAATTAAGGATTGGTCATTTTTTGCAAAGCACTTTGCTCACTAATTAACAAGAGAAGTCTTACAAAAATTGTCAAATGAAGAATTAGATGTTGGAAGGTCATGAGTTACAAAAACCACCCATGCAAAAGATTAGATTAGAGAAGGATTTGGCCTATTCTAGGAGTGAGACTGAGAACTATAAACTAAAAAGGTTTGAGCTACAGTAATGGAGAGATATAAGCAGAGAACCTAACACATCTATTTCTAATAATTTGTAATTTCAAGAATCACTAATTTTGAGTATTCACGTATTTCAAATAAACTAAGCATGTATTTACATTAAAGGAAAAGTTACCATACCATCTGAAAAAGTAAAAATCAATAGAAGAAGAATCCTGGGGTCTTGGATTCTTTTTAATTAATAGATTTTATTATTTTTAAAAGCAGTTTTGAGCTTATAGAAAAACTTAAGAGAGTTCATACATACCCTACCACACACACACAGTTTCCACTATCATTAACATCCTGCATTAGCATGGCACATCTGTTATATGAATGTGCCAATGGTAATATATCATTATTAAACTCCATAGTTTTACATTAAGCCTCATTCTTTGTGCTATATGTTTTATAGGTTTTGACAATTTATAATGACATGTGTCCACATTAGAGTACCATACAGAATCGTTTTACTGCCCTAAAGATCTTCTGTGTTCCATCTATTCATTCTTTCCTCCATTTCCTGGGCCCCTTGGCAACCACTGATGTTTTCACTGTCTTAGTTTATCTATTTCCAGAACGTCATACAATTGGAATAATGTATGTAGCCTTTTCAGATTAGCTTCTTTTACTTATCCATATGTGCTTTTAAAGTTTTTTCCATGTCTTTTTGTGGCTTGAAAACTTACTCTTTTTATCACTGAATAATTCTATTGTATACATGTGCCACAGTTTGTTAATCCAGTGTCTGCTGAAGGATATCTTGGTTGTTTCCAAGTTTTGGCAATTAAGAATAGGGCTGCTATAAACATTTGTGTGCAGATCTCCACAGACTTAAGTTTTCAACTCACTTGGGTAAATACCAAGGAGCAAAATTGCTGGATCATATGGTAAGAGTATGTACAATTTTGTAAGAAACTGTTAAACGGTCTTCCAAAGTGGTTGTAACATTTTGCATTCCCACCAGCAATAAATAAGTTTCTGTCGCTCCATATTCTTGTGTGCATTTTATGTTGTCACTGTTTGGAATCTTAATCCTGCAAATAGGTACACAGTGGGATCTCGGTGTTATTTTAATTTGCAATTCCCTGATAACTTATGATGTTGAGTATCTGCCATATGTACATCCGGTCTTTGGCCTGTTGGGAACCGGGCCACACAGTAGGACATGAGTGGTGGGTGACCATGCATTACCACCTGAGCTCTGCCTCTTGTCAAATATGAAGTGGCATTAAACTCTCATAGGGGCATAAACTCTATTGTGAACTGCACATATGAGGGATCAAGGATGCATGCTCTTTAATGAGAAACTAATGCCCGATGATCTGATGTGATCAGCCTACAGTTTCATCCTGAAACCATCCCCCACCCCTCCCTGGTCCATGCAAAAATTGTCTTCCATAAAGTCAGTCCCTGGTGCCAAAAAAGCTGGGGACTGCTGGGTTAAGCAATCAACAAATCAATCATTTTTAAATTAAAAATAAAATTTAGAGAATGGGTGCAATGAGCATCAAATAAGGATCAAATGTTTACCATAGTATATGTAGTAACTAAGCAAGTAGTAGTCTGCTTATGAAAGAGTCACAATGCTATTTTTAAAATTACCTAATTTTCTAGTATTGCTAAGTAGATTGTTCCTCAGTAAACCATTCTATCCCTGACTCATCACATCTGTGAACAACCTGGTAGACTGACCTCAGAATTTAAAATAAACATTGCAGTTCAGTGGGGGATTGTTGCATAAACACTCATAAGTGTTGAAAAAGTAAATACACTCCTATGAAACTCTTTCCTTGAAATCTGTATATTCTTCAATTTTCTTGCATTTTCGTTTTGCTCTCCCTACTCCCACCCCTTCCCAAGAGGTCCCTAATTTACATTCCCACCAATAGTGTAAAACCATTCCTGTTTCTCTTTACCTCACCAACATCTGTTGTTTCTTGACTTCTTAATAATCGCCATTCTTACTGGTGTGAGATGGTAGATCACTGCACTTTTGATTTCCATTTCTCTAATGATCAGTGATGCTGAACTTTTTCTCATATGTTTTTTGGCCACATGTATGTCTTCTATTGAGAAGTGTGTTCATGTCCTTTCCCCACTTTTTAGTGGGGTTGTTTTTTTTCTTGTAAATTTATATAGACTCTAGATTTTAGATCTTTGTCAGATGGATTGCAAAAACTTTCTCCCACACTATACACTGTCTGTTCACACTGGTCACAGTTTCTTTTGCTGTGCAAAAGCTCTATAGTTTAATTAGATCCAGTTTGTCAATTTTTGCTTTTGTTAAAATTGCTTTTGGGGATTTCATCATAAAATCTTTACCTATGCCTATGTCCCGAATGCTACTACCTAGATTTTCTTCTAGGGTTTTTAGAGTTTCATAGTTTAAATCTTTAATCCTC